ACTATAAAGAAATTACCGTTTTGTGGTGTCAAGAATGGTTTTTTCTTAATCGCGCTTTCCCCCCACGAGTGCTATTATAGCAGTCAACGGTCATACAATATATTACATTATTGATAATTACTGTTATTGTTGTGTAAATTGATTTAGTTTTTATCGCCTCGGCTCAGAGTGCATTTCTTAAATCGGAATATCGTCGTTTCCGTGAAAAAACTTCCTAAAGCCTAATTGTTCAGTTGACACTAAAACGTGTAAAACGATTTATAGCAGCTAACACATAGGTTTTATTTTTTATTTTCCATTTATTCTACAATGGAGGGAGATGACACGTTGGAGATTTTTGATGGCTTATTGTTTTCTGTATCCAGGAATACCAAAACCTGAAAATCATAAAATTGGCACATATCTAGGAGGTTTTTTCGCATATTATAATGGTTGTTTTTCGATCGAATCATAAGTTATCATCGAACAAACATGTACATTCAATGTTATATATTATTGTATTTCTATGACGTCCTCGCTTTGTTTATACACTACTGCGGGAGGTCGCGTGATGTCGTATGCGACCAGGTGACTCGCAGATTTATTTGCTCTTCCCCCCCCCCCATCCGCTTTGGTTGCGGTGTTTTTGAATAATATTCGACCGTTGGATTTGATTTTGATATGATTAGACCTTCCGGATCGTGACCCCGTCGCTGATTATTCAAAAACATATATCACCATGTATAGTTTGTAAGCATACCGCATACAATACGAATAATATTACAATATAGTAATTCCCACTAATAACAAAGTCGTAGTTAACAGTTATTCTTATCTCGGCCATTCCCGTTACTCGTTTCCCGGCCTGTTGTACGTTGCCAGGATATTAAATTGTAAACTCCAGAAATTAAAAAAAAATCAACCCTCATCGTTTTTAGGCTTATGTAGGTATAAATGTGTTTGCGACATCACGGTTTGTACATTGTCAGCGTTCCTGGTTACACAATGGACATCTTATAAAACGATCGTTTAAAAAAAAAAGATTCAGTGCGGTCTCCTTTATTTGTTTTCGGTTATGAAATAATTTTCTAAGTGAAAACAAAATATATTATTCTAGAAGGTTCTCTTTGTCGTTTCTATTTATCGCGCGTATCTTATACATTTATATAGACACAATGTTTATCAATAAAATATATTTGACGCGCACAATTATCACCACATGTCCCGGAATCCAGATAGTCAAAAATGTAATATTAATAATTCATGTATACAGAAAAAATAAATGTTTATATTTTGAACGTGGTCATGATTATTATTTTGATTATCGACCAGTTATTATTTTTATTAGAATGTTGTTATGAGTTAATAAAATAATTAAATATTGAGGTTTGACACTTGCCATGAGAAAATCGTCTTCAAATGTTGATGGTAATATAATTAGTTTAAGAGGGGAACAATTTTTATTCAAATTATTATTTAATAATTAAGATCATTTAGTATTAAGAGGACGCTATCCACTCGTAATTTGTAGGTGGTGTAAAACAGGGTTTGCAAATTACTCAAATCGATACTGTGAAGGTTGTTATAGTACTAAAATCACTAAATTTTCATAGAAAAATAGAGGAGAATGTTATCTATGCTTAACCGTGGCAATTTTTCTATAGATCAACTATTTTTTTTTTTTATGAACGTTAAAAGTTTAGGTTTTTTAGTATTTTTTCATTAAATTATTAAAAATGAATGGATTGAGTAATAGATAAGCATAGATAATTTTTTTCTCCAGTTACTGTGAAAATTTGTTGATTTTACAATAATGCCAAGAAAATTTGGTTTTGATTCGCACAATTCTGTTTTGATGGGAAATAATTGTAATTTTGTCTATAGAAATTACTGTAATAATACGTATACCCTATAGTTGAAATTTTTACCTCTAAATTAAGATGTTGCGAAAATTACCTGTATTTTATTCCTTAATAAATAGCGGGCAGCGTCCTCTAAAGTGAATAATAAATGAATTTGCTAGTGAATTCGGGCTCAGTTTTATATACCAGAAAGAAATTGTAAACCGTAGAAATCATAGAACCTGTTTATTACTGATAAACAGTAAACTACTTGACTAAATAAGTTTTTAATTTGGGTTGAGTGAATGTAAATTCTGAACCTTTATTTTTTTCTAAAAAATATTGCCTAGTCACATTAATTATTGATAAAAAAAAGTTTGTTTACACGTTCTCTGCTTGTTTTTTTTTGTACCGTAGTAATAATAGCACGAGATAAATCTGTTATTGGAATCAACAGGGCTATTATGCCAAATATCACCAACAGAATTCGATTTTAGGTCATACTTATTACTATCGGTGTGACTGAGGCTAACCGATATTAATGGTAATAATTATGGTGTTTTTATTTCTGTTGTGGCAGGAAACAGTATAGGCGGCAATCTGGAGAACGATTAATCGTTTCTTATACTGAGTACAATAAATATTATCGTATGTTCGGACACCACACTTTAAACATCAAAACTTTAATGATTCATTAAAATGTTAAATGCATTGGACTGGTAGATTTTTAGGCGTACGTTCAAAGCATTTCCCGTATGGTATTTTATCGCTCATTTCTTCTCGACAAAGGCGTGTGTCCAATTGCTGCTTCAAAAATTTTTTTTTCTTTTTGTCACCAGTTCAAATTTTTTAATTTTTGAGTTAGGTCGGTAAGTTATTTTTGATAACAAAATGTACCAAATGTGAATGTTGTCTTTTTTATACAATCAGGGCAGAACGAAATAATAATATTGTTTACCGTCATTGTTCAAGTAAACAAGAGATAGTAAATCCGTAAACATTTTTCTTGGGTCCAAAATTAAAACTGTTATAACTAAAAAACGGTAACAGATATTTAAAAAATGACACTTAAATTCTATTGCACCGTACAATGTATATTATGTTGTTCAATCCGGTATTAATAAACGGTTATTTTGCATTAGAGAATTTACATTTCTTAAGTTTAGCATTTACAAGTCAGGAACAATAATTAACTATGGTTAGGTGGGGTGCAGTATTTCAAATTTGCTGAAAAAATTTCTCAAGTAATTATATGCGTCAAAACACCTCGAGTTAAAACTGGTATCTCTCAAAATGTTAAGTATATTATATATTGTAATAATTTGTTGAACACAATTTCATATATTGTTATCGTAGTTGGTAGTTTAATAAAACTTCGAGTTCTGAACGATGTTGTTACTATTCCCGGGTGTGTTTGAGGATAGTAAACTTGTAAATCGAGTTCAATGGTCAAAATGTATCATAAAAATAACCGCCGTCTTGCCTTGTTGAAGTAACCCCCTACCATCATGTGCATACTTTTGTACACCCACGAAATTAAAATTAGTATAAATTATTAGTCTGCGTGTATATTTAGCTCAGTAATCAACTCCCATTTAAGTGTGTTCCAAACGTTTTTTTTTTTTTTTTTAATTCGTATGGGATAAATAGTACAGTAAACATAATTCAAATTAAGAACAATTATAATTGAATGTTTTTTTTAAATATTATATTGTTCTACCGTTTAAACTGTTTGACGTTATCTAGAGCTGGCAATGCTACCGAATTTCTGTAGGTCGTTTTAAAATAATATTCTGTAATGCGTTCATCCTGTTTCAAAGCGAAACGAATTTTTTTATTTTATTATTGCTATGTCTGAATACAAATATATATTATAAGCTGTAGACATTATTACGATTTCGCTGACACTACGAGTACTTATATCCTGCTGGCTCCTCTTTTATGTTTTTTAGATCATACCAGTGAATTACCGTTGTCAAAAGCACATATTTTCATGAACTAATCATACCATTTCGTTTTCATTATTATTGGGCACGTTTAATTTTCCGTCCCTATTCATAAATGTTTACACATGTTAAATTAATAATTAAATAATTAAACGTTCAACAATATTATTATACAAGATAAATAATTATTAGTCTGTTGGTGAAATCGTTGTAGCCGTAAATTTGATTTATTTTTATGATAGTCGTTTAGTACTCTGATTATACATTTAGGTTGAACTTGTATTATTCAAGGAAATTCACTTCACGATTTTTTTAACAGTATATATTACATAACTTTCTTTATCGCGTTTTACCATCACTACACTACTTTAATGTACTCTTGTGACGTCATTTATAAAACAATGTTTGTTTAAAATCATATAAATTTAAATTGTATTAGAATATATTTTTTTAATATTCAAATCCACTAACAAACAAAAAGAAAACTTTCAATGGATTAGCATACTATTGAAGTAGACCGCACGGGAATCTACATTTTGTTTATTCGCTCTTTTTTTTTTTAATATGGATACCTATTGCAGAAAAGGTTAAAATTCCTGTTTGCACGTTCACAATATAACCCAGAAGACGCTCAGACCTGTGACATATTTGTTTGTCTATTTTTATCTATTCCGCGGTGCTGCCTAATCTGTCAACTTGTCAAACATAATAATTTCAAATGGATAAGCCAAACAAAAGGCCGGTTAACGGCGGCGTCATTGCCAACTCGACTTTGCGTTTTGACTTGGAGTCAGAAAGATTAGAATTTGAACACTTGGATGATTCATGTAGTTCCTCGTCGGATCTTGATTGCAGTCTCGATAGCAGCTTCCAGAATTTAAGAAATAGTGTGAAAAATATCAATAAAAGACAGAGCCCTTCGAAATCTCACATCCATACAAGTATACAGTTTGTAGAGGAGACTGCACCAGAAATGAATTTAAATAAAAGCTTCGAAGACATGAAAATCAGTGTTAGAAAATTGAGAAATATAGAAACAGAAAAAATTAATAGTTATATTAGTGATCTGATTAAAGCTGCGTCTCCCATAAATGACGAGAAAGGTAAAACTAAATTGTAGGGGTGGTGTAAAATCTATTACGCTGTTGATGGTCCATCATTTCTACGTTGTTACTAACATAACTATTAACAATTACCATTTTCTAATTATTATTATTTTTTTAAATAATTTTAGGTATGGTGAAAAAATGCGAGCGCATTGAACTGGAAATTTCCAAGCAAGAACAATTCCATTTGCTGAAGACTGACATTGCAGCGATTAAAACACATTTATTAGCATTTACTCGTAATGATCGGCTCGACAGCAATGTAAAAAATAAACATGAATTACAAGTTTTCATTCTCACTGCTAAGGTAATAATAATAATAATGATAATAAAATATGTTTTAGGTTATGATGACATTTTTTTTTATTAGTAAAATAATTTTTGTAAAAATAGTGATGAGAAAAAATATGGATTTTTTTAAAATTTAAACCAATATATTATTTATGGCCAACCTTTTAAATTTAAATCAAACTTAAATTATTAATTACATCTTAATTGTATTGTTTATTATATTATAATACAAGTCATGTCTATAATGAAAAAATCCAGATTTAAGATCAAAGTAAAATATTCAAGTTATCTAGATTTTTGTTGTTAATATTTTGTCTTCACATACCAAATTTTTTTGGGTTTCAATGTTATTTAAAAATGTAGTTGATATTTTTTTTAAGTAGTCATTATATTTAAAATAAAATATTGTTACTACTTACTAATAATAAGAAAACAATTTCAAAAAGGAAAAAAATTAAATAACATATTTTGTCTACACACTATTAAAATTTAAATGTATGAATACAAACAATTACTTATAGTATTATATATTTTAGGATAATTTTGTATAATTTATCTTAAATTTTGACATTTATCCTTATATTTAGTTGATCTAATGTCAAAAGTTGTTTATTGGATAAATTACATCACATTATCTAAAAACGGTTCCCGTGTGATATATTTTTTTTAATGAGACTAGTAGCTATCTGTAATGTTATTATTTTTTTTTTACAAAAACTACTAACTAGTAATTAACAATGTGTATTGTTTTCTACTAATTTGTATTTAATTTTTTCAGACTGAGTTATCAAATTTAGAAACGTATTGGAAGGATCGTAATATAGTAATGATAACCGAACAGTTGAATAGGCATTATGATGAGTCAACGCAACCTAATGCTGTTCTTCTACAAATGAGCAAAGATGTAGCAGATTGTTATTCCATGTTTACTAATGCTAAGAAAAGGCAAGTTACAAAATAGTTTTTATCATTATTAACTATTTTTAAACAAATTATTTATTAGCACTTGGCACAAAATATGTCAATAAATTAAAATAAATGCAGTACACTGCTGACCGCAAGTAGCCCACACAAATTCTTAGTTATTTATTATATTTTTTATCCACTGTGTGTAAGGTTTATCTAAGTAAAAATATCGAGAAGTGATATCCAAACTTCCACAATGCTTGTTTAACGCCCAAGTTTTCCAATTATACCTTAGGCTAGCAATTCCTATTATTTTGTTATCACATAGCATAGGACAACCGATGTCTTCGTCGCAAAATTGTATGTTATCTTGTTCCAGAAAAAGATAACACGTTTTGTTCCTTACTCTATAAAATAAGAAACAGAAATAATTTTTATTTAAAAGTTGATAATGTGCTAAATTGTATTATGCATTATTACTTTGTGTTCTGGTATTTCTCTCCACAATCTACTCGAACCATAACTGAATTATTCAAAACTGAACTCCACTGGTCGTAATAACCACGACTCCTACCCGATCTGTCGGTTATTCCATATATATCACAAGTTTTCTTTTCCCAATTTAATTTTGTTATATTTTCATTAATAAAAAACTCGGGATAAATGTTAGTTTGATTGACTCCCTCGAATTCTGGTAATACCTATGTTTTAATAAGTTTCGACTTGATTTAACTACTCTTAAAAAAGCTGCATTTAGGGTTTTTTTGTTACTTCAATTAATATCACTCCGTTCAGAGAAGCGTCCCCTTCAAATGAAGGTGTATACAAATTCAGTGCTTGGTACTCAATTTCTAAACAACTTCGTACCTGTTTATAAGGAAGAAGTAAAATGTTGATTTAATGTCTTTAATATTGTTGTGAATTGTTCATATTATTTTACTGTTATGTATTTTGATATATTTTTCTTAATACATTGTTTTTCGGTTAAAAAAAATCGATTGCTTATTCTAGTCGCACAACATGTAGATACTTTTTGGAAGCTCGGGTGTTTTTCGAATATTTTATATACAAAACTCATGTGTTCAGGACAAAACGTTGTTATGGGCGTCTTTGACATTACATTTGTATAGCTTAAGACACCCGATAAAAATAAAAATTGAAAAAAACATCCTACATAAACCATTTTGTAAATGTAAAGTTTAGAAAAATATAAATTTATATCGTAACTGTAGTTACACTAATAATTTACCGTATCCATGGTTACAGGTTGGAAGACGATATAACGAGGTATCAAGAAGCATTGGTTACGTTGACCGAGTGCGACCGCCAACTGATGGAGTTGGAGATGAAGTTCAAAGGATTCGGAGATGAGGGCAGTTTGGGAGGAATCCCGAAATTGGGAGGTTTCGGTTCAGCGTCGGACAGTGGCATGTCCGATTCTGGATCGGAGCATGAGCTTAATGAACATGAAAAACGATTAAGCAACCTAAGACAATTAGCTAACAATTTGATGAGCATCATGACACCCGGAAGCGAAGCACTTTTATCGATTTTATCTGTAAGGGAATGTTATTAAACTTATCTAAGTACAGAACCTATGAGGTGTTATCGATTATCGATAATAATAATATTTCTTAGTTAAATCTTTCCAAAGTAGCTTAAAAGTATCTTATCGTTTATCTAAGCTCTGTGGTATATTCTTAATGTATTTGCTGTGTGTACCCACCTTTCACTTTTCTATATGTGTGTTTGTACTCGATTACAAAAATCAAGTACACTTATGCTCATTACTCAGCTAGTTGTGATTTAGTAACAAAGCTCATACAAATGAATCTAAAAATAAGTTTGTATAAACAAAATTAATTTTAATTAAACAAATGTTCAACTAGTCCTTATGTGTTGCCCCTTTATAAATAGTGGGTACCTTAAAATGAGTAAAATGTGTAAAATAAAATTAATTGTTTTATATTTTTCAATAAATTAAAAAATATTTTCACAGAGAATTGAAAATAATGAGAAACAATTGAAAGAACTTCAACAAACGTGTAAAGACCTATTGGGAAAAGCTGAAGTCCAAGCTGAAGATGTATTGGATAAATCTATTGAAACAAAAATGTAAGTTAATTTTAAGCTTAAGTATAATTTATGTGATATTGGTTGTGGTTTAAAATCGGGTTACATATTGAGGTGGTGTTATATATTGAGTTTTAATTGTAGCGTCCTGCGTCTGTAGGGGTTAAGAAACTCATTCGGAAAATCTTAAAGAGTTCTGATTGAGTGACTTAAGTTGAGTCTACTATCATTATTACTTTAAATGTTTATTATCTGTTTCACGCTGTTCCTGGGTATATAGGTAAGATTAATACATTTTTTCTTTAATATGACCTACTCAACAACCCACCCCAACGACATACACAAGGTAATTCTGACAAATACTAGTGCAATCATATGTGGCCTTAGTGTATATAATACATATTTGGATTGTGAATGTGTATTAAAAGCTGATGTTAATCATTTTACTTTTTAATTTAAACTTGTGTATATAATTATGTACTTTAACGAGGTTTTGTCTGAAAATCTATTTACCATTCTTAATTTTATTTGCATGTATTAATTTTGAAGAAAAAATTGTAATCTTGGTAGTTAGATTATACTTCTCATTAAAAAAAAACTAAGATGATAGGATCTACTTGTCTCCTGACTTGTCAAAATTATTTCATTATTAATTATTATTTGTGTTGAATACAACACTCGCAGTGATGTGTTCAAGACTCCTCCTTGGACACACCACCGTTATGGGTGAATACCGATAAAATAATTTTGTCCGTAATAGGCTCTGCTAGAATTTGATTTGGATTAGTATATTGTTGTATTATGTACGAGAAAGTAATTGACATTGAGAGTGGCAAAAAAAAAACAATTTTTTCGTTTTGTAATAACAATATAGGTACCTATTAGAAACGGTTAGTATGTGGCAATGAATGAAATAAATTTCCCAACGATTTTTAAATGTACTGAATCGTATATATGGTAGCGGATAGGCTACCGAATGGGCTTCTTAAAAGGTGGGCGAACTCAGTATTTAAACTTTCCTCGGTGGCTTATAAAGGGCGTAAGTAGTTTTAATCGATTTATATTACTAGTTCATTGTAGTCAAGCCATTGTCCTCCGCCGCCGCCGCTTACATATTATTATTATTGTTGTATAGGTATTTGAGTTTTGAATATCGAACCGAAACTATGGCGGGTTCCGACTTTACCCCGCACACTCTCTGTGTATTGTCATTAGAGTTGTTTTGACCGATTAAACTTACTAGTACGGCATATAACAATTTTATATTATACACACCGTACTGTTATTATTCGTGTAGTTGTATTAAAGATAAACGCAGAACTGTGATTAAAATGTGTGCTCTGTCGAGGAAACAACCAGTTGAAGAGTAGTGTATTAGATGTATGTGTGATGTAACTTGCGCTGGCCCCTCCCCTCTATCTCTCTCGCTCGCTTTTATTCGCTGTTATCTCTCCCAGCTGAATGTGTTAGCGGCGGTCTCGCGGTTAGCCGCCGCCGCAGTCGTTATTTAGCGTCCGAGTGTACTCGGTTGGGTTTATTATAACAGCTACAAGTGGTGTTAATATATTATTGCTTTCTTCGTTAAAGTGAATTCGAAATTCCAATTTTTTAACTTTACCGATGGACTGCTTCGTAGTGGTCGAAGAATCTCTGCCCATAATGACGACCGACAAACAAAAGTCGTTGTCTCGAGTCCGCGAACCTTTGCTGTATTCTAAGCACATCATCACCAACGTGCTGCATTTTATGCTATCGGTGTTCTTTTACTTGGATCTGCAAGGAGGAGTGTTTTTCTCATAAAGGTATTTTTATTTCCATGCACAATTACAGACCCATTTTGTAAGTGTAACATAGGATAATATCGCCTATCTGTATTCAAGAGAAAATCATTTTAGTTTGGAACTGACAAGCGCGGATCCATAGCGTGTAAAGTTGGGGAAGTTTTGACCCTTCAAAATCCTTTTCGTGGTCTCTTAAAGTTCACAGGTATATGAAATTCTTAATGGCTGTGTCAGTTGAGTTGCTGTAAATTTTTGGAATGATTTTGAAGGATTTAGAATTCCTAACGCCCCCCCCCCTTCCCGGATCCTAGCCTGTGAATAGAGAACATTATTATATACCCGCATTTCTCTGGTTTCACAGTAGTTGAAAAAAATGCGTCAAATCAATTTACGGGCATTGTCCGTCTATAGTGACTGTGAAGGCCCAAAGTACATACACCTTGATTAATATATTATTATTATAATTTTTTCAAAAAGTCATGTAAGAATCACATAGATTTTTAATCCAACTCGCGTTAATATGCTATTAATGGTTATTACTGGAAGTTAGAATTGATAGGGTTTGATGGATTTCGATTGAAGAGGTTTTTACGTAGTACAATGGACGGATTTTTTCGATAACGCGTTAAAAACTTTAAAACCTGTGTACGACACCCAACCAAAGCTGTTTACTTAAAAAAAAACAACGATGCCTTTAGTATTGTGTTTGGCGTTACGTGTGTATCGATGATTAGTAACTCGCATATGGCCGCATCGGCGCAACTTATTCATTTTTAAAATGACATTATTCGAACAATAGTTGTTTTTTAAATTTAATACAGTTTACAATAATAAAAACTGACAGTTTGACGAAATTGTCGATTTGATATTTATTCGTTTATTGTACACTCTAGACTCGTCCTTATCCAAAAAATAAAGTGTATTTTATAAACAATAAAATATGTGTGTCTTAAAATAAATGTGTGTATAGATTATGTTGGTTTGTTACTGCATCAATTTTGTTCAGATAAAAGTCGAATGGATTTTCAAAGCCCAAAAATGTACTCTTAGGTTGGTTAGTTTCTACTAACACTGCAAAGTTGTCTAGAGAACATAATTATTAAAAAAAACACAATAATTACAAAATGGCAATTGTAGTTTGCACCAATAACAGATGGTTGAATAATTTAGTGTTTCCATTTTTAGTCAAATAACGTTTAATTATTGTTTAAAACCAATATATTTTTATGTATATGGCTATAATTATCACGATGACGTCAACGCGTGTGCGTTCCTTAACAAATGCTTATGAATCATAGTATTATACATGTATTTCACTATTCAGGTGATTTTTTTAAGGCGTACGCCTATGCTTTAACGATTGTCCGTTTTTAAAATAATATTTTAACTTGAGTTATAAATACTTTTGTTTCAATACAAAACAATGTGTATTCAATGGTTTTAATATTCTTACTAAAAAAAAAAGTCTTTCTTCGTTCAAGGTTTTTGTTATATGCCATTTTACATATTATATTAATATTATTATTTAACTCGCCGTCGAATTTAGTTATTGGTTTTTTAGGCCTTGGTAGTGTGCCTGTTTAATATGTCTATTTCTACTGTGCCCTTCTAGTTTATAATATGTGTTTATATTTTATTTCCAATTGCGAACGTATCTTCTTATCTCGATAACGAGGAACAGCGTTTCAACTTTGCCCGGCGCAAAAAAAAATAATATATTAATATATCTATCACAGTGTGTTCAGAATACAATCTCGGTTTGTTGTCACATTGACATTTTACATAAACTACTGTTTAGTGAGTTGGGCGTTGGCTTTTATCAGCCTTAGCCTTATGATAGATCTTTAGGTCTTTGTTCAGCTCTTGCGAACCGAGTGGACCAGCACACGTTTGGTGTATATTGTGTACCGTGTTTGAATTTCAACCAGGTTGTGGTGTACCTACTATGAATTCTGATGATAACTCGGGTTGTGAGTTTTTACTTTGAACGGCCAGTGAAAGTCCCAGGTTTCTTCGATGATTTTATCTACCTCCCCCCTCCCCTCTCCGTTTGTGTCCTATATGATCATGTGGGTCGTCGTCTCCACGGTTTGTCATTCCCTTGACCTGACCTACTTGTTCGTCACCCGCGACTCAACAATACTATTAGGAGGTATCGCCCGAATCGAGCCAAAAGAAGAAGAGGAGTAACACAAGAAAGAAAAGGAGGACCTTCGACGGTTCTTTTTTTTTTTAATAATTGCTATTCACGTCTCTCGTTTTGTTCAATACACGCTGAGCACGCGGGAGAAATTATTCCCAACTGTGCCTCAGATTCAAAAATGATCCATAGTATAATATACTATATTTTATATTACTGTTATTATTTATCGGACTATATTTTATTAATTATTCTACAAGACGATCGAACCGTCGTTTGGCCTTGACGCCGACCACAGTCTGTGCGATATCGTCATCATTATCAATCGTTGCTCTCGAACCTCGGCTAAATAATATCGAAAGATAATAATTATTACTCCACGTATAGTGGTGATATAAATGTTGTGTACCTGTATTCGATACCGAGTTCGGTCGGTGGAATTTGTACTAGCGTGTTTACAATGGGAAAACGAAACGACAGCATTTGCGATTTTTGTCTTATGTTCGTTTTTTTTTATTCCTTCGAGCGCATAAAATACATATTATAGCATGTTTATATTTAACGTTAAAACGCGGAAAGAACGCACGCTAAAAAAATCCCATTTCTAAGTTGACCCGCGTCCAGTTACATATTTACATCGGTTATAATATTATAGTTGTTGTTGACCTTCTGTTCTGGCATTGCTACATCACGACCTTGGTTACACATAAACTCAATCAAACCCACGTTTTCCGTCATTCCGAATTCGCATGTGCGCACTCAGTATACATTTGTACCCTCGTATTTAAAAGGACCAATGCCAATTTTTGGCAATAATTTAAAAATTGAGGGCCGACTCTTTATATATCTTAAGGCTGTCGGAGCCGGCACGATTTTAGCACCAAAAACATGTCTCGCAGGAAAAACTCTCACGTCCTGTAGAATAGTAGGATTTTAATCGGTTTTTTTTTTATTTGAAAGGAGAAAACTTTTTGCAGTTCGAACAGAAACTCGAATTTCAAAATTCTTATTATAAAAGCCATAATATGCATTTGAATTTTTGTTTTTTTTTAGCCCTATTTGATGTTAAATGAAAATTTGGGCTTCTATACGAACTGCAAAAAGTTTTCCCCTTTGAAATAAAAATAAAATTATAAAAATCCGACATGTTTCCGAGGCGTGAGAGTTTTTCCTGTAAGAGCATTTTTGTTCATTTAAATCGCTGTCAAGGATATTGTGATAGTCCGAAAAATAAATTAACTGCCAAAATAGTGTCCTAATTACTAAACTAATTATTACACATCACAGTTAAACCTAAAAGTTAAGAATTGGCAAAAAACATTTTTTTCAGCAGCAATACCCTTAAGGGAAATATAGTAGCTGTAAAACGAATTTGTAAGGCTTTTTTTCGGTGAAAACCAGTATTCGTCTACCACAATAACCGTTGACGCTTTGGTGTTTTATCTATCGATGCAGTATTGTAAAATATGTATACTACTGATGTGATCACCAATCTCTACCAATTGAATATGCTATGAAAAAGGCCAATCAAATTCTGAGAGTTTAACATTGGCCAATTACAATTACTTTTGTCGAGATAACGTTTCCCAACAGTAGAGCAGCCGTATTGAGGGTTTCTTATAATTAATATACATACTTATATTTATATATATTGCTGTACCTTGATAAAAATATTAGGCAAACCCGACATTTGTCGTACAAGCATAATAATGTTGTATATTATTATTATGCTAATTCTATTATTATTATAAGAGTATAATATATTTGTTTTTGCACTTTCTATGGGAAATATAATATAAATTATAAATACAAACACCATTAATGACAGTGTCACTTAGAAGCTGCCAAGTCTTTGAAAAGTCTTGGAACAATAATAATCATAATCATATTATTATTATTATCATCATTGTCATTCTTATTTTATGTTTAGATTTCATCACAATAATATTGTTTTCTATTCAGTCACGTTTACAGTGTCGCCCGGAGGCCGTTCACTTCATTGCCCCTAACCTCTTAAACGACACGTTAATTAAGTGTCAAAATCGTCCAGAACCATAATGATATTATTTTAAAACTAACTTCATCACACGATTACGTTCACCTCCGTCGTAATAAGAAGAGTTGGTTCTATTTGAGTATTTGACCATCGATTTCTGTTTTCTACTGATTTAAACTGATTCGCGTGGTTTGCATTTATGTCCCTTCACTGTCGTTGTCCTCCTAAAAATAATTTTATGTCGGTTAAATTATAATTAAAAATCACTTTTTTAACCTTTAAAACCGGCTTTTTTTGAAAATGTTTATTGAGAACACGTTTTAAACATGCCAACCAGCTTTAATATTATTCATTTAGTGGAGGCCACCACAATGTCGTGTTGTGGCCATTGACAGAATAAATACTAACTTCGACCTCAGTTGCTTAGCCACCTGTTATTTCCTGTTAGGGTGGTGTTTTATACCTTTTTGGTGTATTATTGATATTAAAATTACATAAGTTAAAATGTTCTCTGGTGATAGTGGTGGTGTGGAATTAAATATTAAGAATTGGACGCTTTAGAAGATAGGTTAGGTGTTTAACGAGTTGAATAATAATTATTACGCATGTGTTTATAAAAAATTAGTGATTAAAATAATTTATTCAACGGACCAATTAATTATAACAGCGTGTATTTCTTTTGCAGCGTTGAAACATCAGAAGAAACCAAGTCGCCTTTGGACAAATTCAAAGACAACACAACACTATTATGGCGCACACTTCGCATTGCTGTACCATTTTACCTGGCCATCATGATTCTGTGCTCCCTGGGATGGCTAGAACCGCAGTGCTGTGAACTGCAGAACAATTACAAATGGTCGTTTGCCTTAGGCTTACGCTATTTAAACGGGCCGCCCCCGACGTGATACAGGAGATTGATATTTATAATTACTTAAAAAAAATATGCATAACAACTGAAAAATAACATTCTTCCATATTGTGTGTGTGTATACAGCTATTTATCGTTATTACTATATTCTTTGTTAACTATTTTATTCTCGGGAGTACGTGAAACACATTGGCGGCACAAAGCGAGGAGTCTCTGGTTTTCTTCTCGTTTCCCCTCCCACCCCACCTACCCATTGAAAATTCAACATTCCTAACAATTTTGTTTGTAGTAGTTAGTAGTTAGTAAGAACCTATTGAAATACAATGTTTTTTTTTTAAATATATATATATATACATTTTATGTATTTTAAATACGTTAGCCTTAAGCATATATATATATATTATTATTATTAAAATTTGGTACTGAAAAAAGCAAAAAAAAAAATTACCTATGTAATCTAATATTATTTTATTTTAATGCTTTTTATTGTAAATATTCACAAAAATTGGTTTTGATTGATTGTTAATAATTTTTTTTTCTTAAATAGTTTATTTGTTTTTATTTTTATTATTTATTACGATTTGAAGACGATTTTAGTCGAAAAAAACGATTACGTTGTTTTTTTAATGCAAGTGACTCAACAAAATAACTGATGAAACAGAGATAATGATTTTAACAAGATGTAATTATCTTAAATTTGATTTGATAGTGAAAATAATAATAACTATAACAAATCATGATATGTTTCGCTGTTGATATCATCCCCGCTAACCATATTTTTATAGGACCTTGTTACCAATTTAAACATTATCCAAAGTACAAAGTGCATAACTTTTTAGTTTTTCAAAACCAAACAAAAAATATAATTGTTAAGTGTGCTTAGAAAAAATGTTTTCTACAGCTAAAAGTTTTATTTTATCTACTCGAGATAATATGGGTATAACATTTAAATACACTAAAGAAATTGTTCTAGTTTTTATGTAGGAGTTAGTCAAACATATTTTATAGGAGTGTTACTTTAATCTTTTTTTTATATACAGAATCCTCGGCTTAGGATTGTTTATTAACATTAAAACTTATGTCTATTAGGTGAATTATATGATTTATTTATGTATATTTGTGTGTATGTTAACATAATTTGTGGTTTGAAAGCTAAAAAAACGTATCGAGGATACAACAATCATTAATTGACAACTTAAATCAATTTATTCCTCTTTAAGCATTTTTCATCAAACGTTAATAAAACACAATTACGTTCTAGTTCAAAACATACAATTTTTCTAGTCTACTGTTTTAAATGTTCATTTGAGCAAATTTAATTAAATTTTATATGGGATAACCATATAATGTGGATTTCAAGAAGAATAATGCATTTAAATATACCTAATACATTTTTTTTTTTTTTATGTATTTTTATTTATTTGTATGTTTAATAGTTAACAACATAACTTTGTATCTCATTTGTAAACATAACAAAGTGTTAACTAATTATTGTTTATAACATAATAACTTTCCAGTTAATGTATAATTTTTAAGTGAAAAAAGAGTAGCAAATTATCTTTATATCGATATTATTATTTAATCAGTACATATTTTGTACTTATTAACTTATTTATAATAATCATATTTAACAATTATTATTATGCAATGCATTTTTTATGACTATTGATGTCTGTATTTTTTTTTCAATAAAACTACAGCATTAGCTGATAACAATGTGTATTGCTTTTTTGTTTAATATTCCATCCTATGCAAATGCAGTGTTCTGTTCTTTCATAAGATCTAGGAGACAACAGAATTTAATTTAGTTCTTTTAAATCAAATTTACATTTTTCCTTCTTGTACATGCGTGAACTATTAAATTAAAATATTGAGTAGAAGAGTGTAAAAACACATATTTTCAAGTTGAAGGAAATAACAATTGTGTAGTTTTGTATTCTTAGTACTAAAATGAGTATTTTGCTGGGTTGCACAAGTGTCAAGTATAATGAACCACTAAATATTGAATACTTTTGTTCAACACTGATGAGCAAAACGTTGCAACTAGCATTGTAGACCGACTAATGAGTAATGACTACATAAATTAACATAAATATTTAAATAATTGGCATTGGAGGTTACACGTGTAGGTAAACGACCGCTTTTAAAATCAGAATACAAGTAAACTTAAAAACTGAATTTGTTTTTGATTTAATTATGTTAACTGAATTTTCTACTTGCAAAGCTAGAGAAAGTATGCCTGATTTTTTAACAATAATGTATTTTATTTTGTAAAAAAATGGATTCATAATTCTGAAACCATGATTTTAAATCCACAGTTAGAAGCGATTTTTTGAGGAATTTTTTGAAACATCATGAAAAATGTATTATGATCTATAGGACATTACTTTCTACAGATTTCATAAGAATTTGATCATATTGGATGTTTAAACATTTTTTAAATTTGTTTAGGTACGCAAAATTACTATCGAAAAAATCTAAATATCAATTTCAATGCAAAGCTGTGAAAGTATTGTTTTTACAATTTATTATTGTACAAATTTTATATGCTAGAGTGAACTTTATAAACATGGTCTGATTTTTAAATAATAATATTTGTTTATTATATTAAAAACCACAAATTGCTATCAAATTTTACTGTAATTCAACTGGAAAAAACCATATTATTAAATATATTTGACTAATACTATTCGTCACCTGTAAAATAGTAATCGTTTACAAAGTAATAGCATTTAGAATTTTATGAATATTCAAAAAATGTCTGCATAATAGTAATATTATATTCAGAGCCGTTATTTTCTTGTAGTTTGTATAACAGCGAAATGGTGAACGTATGGTACACAGTTGGTAATATAAACTAGAACACTTCTTACTCCTATACTTTGTAGAATAAATTGAAAATTGTTATTGATGCTATATATTGAACGGTATATATTATTATTATTTTAACTCCAAAATTATTTTAAAAGCAAATAAAAAAAAATAACCAAACATATGGTTGTTGTGTTATTAATATTATAATAATAATTATTAGTACCTATTAATATTTTATACGTTATACGTCAATACTCAATATTATTATGTGTATTATCTTTAGTTCATCCCCTGGTAATGTCTATTATATTCCGGTCTACCTTTAAGTGTCTCTATAATATAATATATAGTATATATTGTGGCACACGAAATATTATGGTGTTGTGGAGGAACATGATACTTAAGGGGCATCTCCATCTGCGTATTTTTGGTATGTGCTACTGTAGAGGATATGGACATTTGGACATTTTATAATACAAAAAAAAATGTATTTTATTAGGAAAAAAATTAGTCGTGGCTAACGTTAAAATAAGTGTTCAGTATACCTGTCAAAAAAAAAAAAATGTCACCGGTAAATATGAACAGAAAATTAGTAATAGTATTTCTATCTGTAGGAGTGTTTTTAACAAGAGCCGTTTACTATCAAATTACATTAAATCCTCCCCTGCTTTAACACGAGAAGAAAAGATATGTTTCGTTTTCTTATAAACTTCAATAAGTCCGTTTTGTGGCTTAATAATAAAAACACGTTATATTTTACTATTAGCTTACACAACTTCTTGTTAATAAGTCCATATAATATTCTAATGTACGTTAATGTTCACAAAAGTACCGAAATTTGAATATTTTATCATTCCTCTTTAGACCTATCTTCTGGCTGATTTTCAAACCTTGAGTACTCAAAATACTAAATAAAGAAAAAATGTCCACCCTATCTAGGGGTTAATATAGTATTTTACGGTTCAGTTATAAAAATTCCTGAAGACTCGTGACCTCCCCGAACCTTATATTATGATCCATCCCCACTACGCTCGCATCACACTGTATTGGCTGTTTGTATATATTATATAATATAATGTAATATCAAAAAGTTTTAGTTATTTTAGTATTATATTGGCTTAGGAGTAGGTGATTTGGTGTTTGGCACGTGACACGTCGTAGAGGATGCTTTCAATTAAAGGGCATATTAGGATTTAGGCGGTATCTTTCGTTGTAAATGTATTTTATTAAAATTAAATATATTTTAATGCTACGAAATATAATAATTCTTATATATGTACGATTTGTACAGGACTTTATTGAATGGATACAAAGTTGTGCTATGTTGGTAATAGTGATGTACCCATACTGATGTAAGCGGGGCGCATGATTAATAAATATGTTCTTTATTTGTTCTCCTGTCACTGAAGTTGTTTGAATACGGTCCTTAAAAAAAAGAAAAGAAGACTAGTTTCGTCGGGGGACACTCGACTACCGCCGTTAATAAATTTGTTGGTCTTGGTCTTCCCAGCTAGACCACGTGCCGTTATGCAATCTAGGGTCGGCCGCCTTGCCTGCAGCTCTTCTGTTTCCAGGCGGTACCAACGCCGTCCTACGGTATTCCTGCAACAGCCGTTCGAAGTGTTGGATTTTCGCTCTGACCAGCTTGCCGGTTTTGTCGTCGGGACCGAAATTCAAGTTGACCAGTTCGCACGGGTCTTTTTCCACGTTGAACAGACACGGTTTTTTCAACGGTAGACACGGTCTCGCCTCTTTACGGAAATGTCCACACTTCACCCTGGACTCTTCCCGGAGGTTCCGGATCGTGGCGGGCGACAACAACCGGCCATGAGCGACTCTGTCATTGCCAACATCTGACGACAACAGTATCCGACCGACCGTACTGTTCAATACCGCGTCTTCATACCGGTAATTATCGCCGTTCGACTCGTCAGGTTCCCCGGACCAATAGTCCAGGAATCCCAGGAACGTACTGCCTGTATGGGCAAAAAAAAAAAAATATCAAAATATTCGGGACATAGTGAGGACGGAGAGGGCACAGGTCTACAGATTTTATTATAACTGAAAGTGATAAATTCACTTTTAAATAAACGCTTCCATGCGAATCTGTGGATAGTATGTTCAAACCAGTTATAGCGGTTTAGAAGATATCGTGGGACCAGCAATAATGTACTTGAAATTTAATATTTAGTCTTATGCAGGGTGGATACGATAAGGGTTGATCGTCTGTCTATAAAAATGTATTGCCATAGTTACCCATATATCGTAACTAACAATATAATAAAAATATTTTCATTACCTGTTGACTGTTGATTCACTCGCACATAGCAACCTAGAAACTGACTACGGCCAAAGTGCAAATTTACCCTATTTTTGGTGTTTTTCCTTAATAAAAAAAAATTTGACTACAGATTTTTGAGAAAATTGTATATGTTATAGTTCCATTTTAGATCTACCTACGGTCTAATTTTCAGATCTAAGTCTCTAAAACTTTGCTTGAAAAAATGAAATAAAGAAAAAAATTCTATCCCTTCTAAGGGAAAGGGTTTATGATACTTTTTTGGTTTGTTAATGTTTATCGATAGTACTATGCTTGAAGAACAATTAAATATAAATTTGGAACATTTTCGACTATTTTTAAAAAATTTATAGAGCATCGTAATTTTAAGTTGAAAAATTTGTAAATTTTTTGGGTGTTTTTCTCGATTTTGATGGGGAAGGGGTGACTTTTTTTAATTTTTGGCCTGATAAAGTACCTTCCAGGTATGATTTCTGATCTATAGAGTTGCTACACGAAGAAATCGGTTCAGCGGTTTACGAGATATCGTGGGTCCAGACACAAAAATAAAAACACATCATTGTAAAAACAATACCTTCTCAGCTCCGCATCGAAGCTAATATTCTATTCCGATTACTGTGTATGCCTAACGAATTTCCGTCAGTCAGTAGTTACACAAAATAACAATACACTGTTGCGCGGTAAACTAACCAATATTGTACATTGTAGTCGCTGTGTACCTACCATTGATGTACTTATAGTTGGAATCTCTTATGGCGGAATACCCGGACACATCGTCGATGTTTTGCACCAAGTGTTTTCTCGGCCATTTCCCGTCACTAGCACCGTTCGCCCACAGGTCCCACATGTCGATGCCGTCGATATCCAGTTCTTCCGGATCGCCACCTGTTTATTATAAGAAAAATAATGAGGTAGGCTCGTATTTAATAATGTTTGTCAGTTGTCGATTAACAATAGCAAAGTGTATGATCACCTGCAGCCCGATAAAGAGTAGGCATCCAATCGGTAATGTGCATGAGTCCTCGGGATACGCGTCTCCTATTTGACAACAAGCGGCTCCATACAAACGCAGCCGTCCTAACGGCTCCCTCCCACGGTGTACCTTTTTCCTATTAAACAATATTGATCTTACATTATATCATCATACACTTAAAGAAACCAAAAAAAAAAAAAAAAATTGAACAATAAGCGAGTTTACATGACTCATAAAGGTCTACACATCATCATTATCGGTTCAACCAACCCTAATTTAATAGATATTGATTCATTTATATAATAGCCAATTATATTCATTGACACTTTGCGTTAGCCAATCAAATGCGGTAAGTAAAAATAATATTATGGTGCAACGAAAATATGAGGCTGAAATTCGGATTTCTTAAGTACCTATTCGGATTTTTGGATAATCAATTATTTTTTTAATCCATATTAAATAATACAATTTTGTTATAAAACGTGTACATTCCTTCAGCAACATTCATACCGTTTACATAACACAATAATTGTATTATTTAATTTCGATAAAATATGTAATTCAAATAACCGAATAATCTGTTAGATTCAGGATTCTAAAATCTGCATAATTCCATCACTACTGTTAAGTACGTCTAGTCTCTGGGAAAAGGGTGAAACAATATTTGTCATTAAAACTAGACTGAAACAAATCTCAAATGACAATTGGATTTCACTACATACATTGTTGGTACTAATTAATGCATTTTTTATTATAATTCGTTTTTTTTTATCGAGGGCTCAAACTTCTAAAGGTCAAGGAATAAGTATGGATACCATAAGTGCCCAACATTAATAATGCAATTTATAATTTAGCAAAACATCTGGTCAACTAATTACCCATGAGTTATAAGTTATAACGTATTAGAACACACTAAAATTTACATTGGAACAAGACGCATGAATTATAAAACATCCGAGGCCGAGAAGAAAATAAGTCACTGATGACTGGAGAGTAAAATCACACCATTAAAGCATTAAAGTTTAAATAATATCAGAAATCACTAAGAATTTAAAATCAAAGAAGCTATAAAACTATTAAGAAACTTATTAAAATGGGACTAGAGATGTCCATTACAATAGGATGATGATGCTGATTTATTATTATTATTTCAAACAGAATATACATATATAATTTACAAAATATGATTTATAAATCAAAAAGTTTGAAAAATAAGAAAAATATTGTTTGATAAAATCACTTCAATTTCATGAAGATCATTAGTATTATGTGTAGTCATCATTCCGGTGATGACTTTGCCGAAATGATACAAGGAGGCTTACTGTTCACATTGTCGTTTAGTCTGTGGTTAGCCCTGACGTCGAAATAAATTAATTTTCTAAAAGAAAGTAAATTTTATTGTAGATTGTGAGAGGTAATCCAAATTTGATAGTCAAACGGTTACAATGAATATACAACACTTTATTTTAATTAAACAAATACTAGAGTGGATTGAGCTTGTTCGGTCCCTACTACTTCTCGATAAGCATATGCATATTTTAAAACTTAATAGAAAACTAAAATATAGACTTTTAAATTGAAGAACTTTGGTGGTAGTTGTAAAACCAACCATTATTATTGCTAATAATAATATAATATTTTATTTTGAGAAATGTTCTGCGATGGGATTAACCGTTTTTGACCCCTTAGAATTTCGAAAATATCTTCGTGTTAGACAAGACACGTGAGTAATGGAGCAAATTAATTAAAGCGACAAGTGAATCTATGGGTTGTTGTGTACTCACTCCTTTCAGAGGCCAATTAGACCCGTGGTTTCTGTGCATGCCATTGGTGGGCGCTCCGTTGTCCGACACGAACACCAGCACGGTATTGTCAAGCATTTCTTTGGCTCGGAGAGTGTCTACTATTTTGCCTACCGAGTCGTCCAAGGCCTTTACCATAGCTATAATAAAATTGTTCAGTGAAAAAACAATATTCTATATATTCTAATATATAATATTCTATATTATCAATCTACGGCGTACCTGCGTATTTTTGTCGGTTCTTGTCTTTGATGTAATCGAATTGGCTGATGACCTCGGGCGGAGCTTGCAGAGGATCCGCGTAGGGACCAGCGTGTGGAGCTAAATGAGCGACGTATAAGAACAGAGGACCGGCTGTGCTGTTATGACCGTGTATTATGTCGACGGCTTCTTCGGTGAACAGATGAGTAGAATACTTGCCCGCCGACGACCAGTCTGGTTGTAAGTCTCGCCTCATGTCGAATCCCTCGAACGATGCAAACTAAAACGATGTAATGCGAAAAATAATCGCAGTAATTTTTCAAACCAAAATACGTTCTGGTTTTAACCAGTCGTCGTGTCAGACTATTACCGTCGCTTGAACCGTATGCGTGTAGTAGTCTTGGTGACCGTTCCACAAGCCATAGAAGCTCTGGAAACCCCTGTACGTCGGGGTGTACGCCTTCTTGTGGAATCCCAGATGCCATTTACCGACAGCCCGGCAAGTGTATCCCAAGTCTCTAAGTCGTTCCGGTAACAGCGTTTCCCGCAGAGGAAGGCCCCACGGTTCCGGTTCGAGTATAACGTTGTGCTGCATTCCTGCACGGAGATAAATTTTGTTTCACTTATAAAGCAGCATGTCTATGCAGTATAGCGTTGACGATTTTATGACATAGCCATATTTTAACACTTCGATTACCACGAGGAACACGGGGGTGATGGGTATATCTCTTAAGTGGACTATACTAGCGTGCTGTTAAGAAAATACTTCTCTCACATAGGTACCATTATAGTCACGGTTGTCTCGTGTACAGTGTACACACTATAGGTACACGTTGAGAAAGTTATTTCAAAAAGTTCTTGACACGCTAGCAAAATGCATGTGAGAGACATGGTACATACACTTTTTTGTTTGAAAATACATCTGGGTGGTTAACGCCATAATATGTAAAATTTCCAAACAACTTGAGACACCCTGTACACTGGTAGCTGTTCTGGTTTTATGCGAAAAATAAAAACAAGTATAGCTATAGAGATTTTACGTATAATCACATTTTAACGATTAGTACTTAAATATAGAGGAGGAAATATTATATATGATGATTATTGTAACGCTAATAACTATAACTCACAAAAAAAAAAAAAAAAATACACAGACATTAATTTTGACCATCAAAAGCATTGTACTCGGTTAATACAATAATTAATCATCCGTACACAACGAGTACTTACTAGTTATTGTTAATTCTGTACAGGATGTCTCACGTAACGTTGACTATCATACGTAGAATTCGATTTAACAGTAAAAAATGACGTGACAATTGAGATACCCTATACTTTTTAACCGAAACATAAAACATTAAAACTTTATTAATAACTATATTGTTTTTATTAACATAATAAATTAAGTATAACGTACACACAAAACAATCATTATTAATTGCAATTTATGTAAAGATAACACGGAATCTCTCTCAGGTATATAGTTAAAAAAATGTCCAATTACTCCTTTAATTAAAAAACGAGTCATATTATTTTTGTGGTATTATAATAATTGGTGCGTGTATAGCGTTAAGCGCAGTATTCTCAACTACATAGCAACATCTTTAAAAAAAGATGTTAGAATAATGCACGAGTTTGATCCATTTCCATAAAAATAACTTTATTTTATCTCCAATTGTAACTAGAAATAGTTACTTACCTATGTATGGCCAAAGTCGGTTTAAGCTAAACTATCTCCGACCCCCCCCCCCCCCCGGTTGTAGATAATAGATAGCATAATAGTTAAAATAAAAACACCATATTATAAACTATTTAATAAAAAAATTATCATAATTACTATATTATATCAAACATTTATTGTCAATCAAGTCATTCAAGTATTATCTATCAAGTCAATACTTGTAGTTTCGCGGTTTAAACCTTTTTTGATTTTTACACTAAATTTATAAAGAAACTATGTCAGATATTGGAATCTATCTACTATGGTTTTCAAGGTATGTTTCTTTTAGTATACCTGTACGAATTGGATATTTTCCGGTGAGCAAGGCGGCCCGAGATGGAGTACACAACGACTGACTATAATGTCTATTCAGTACTATACCGTCGTAGGCAAGAGCATCAATGTTCGGTGTCCGTATCTGATTCGAACCGTGAAACCCGACATCGTTCCAACCCTGGAAAATCCCACGAATGTAAAAAGTGATGACTGAGTACTATGAGTAATATATATATAATACTAAAACGACGGATTTATTTTTAAACATATTATTGTATACAAATATATTTTTAGTTAGCAGCTCCGAATCAAAGGTAAAACTGTTTGCTTCTCGCCGAGAAATGATTTCCCCAGATATTTTCCATGTGTTATGAATTAGTAGCATTTAGGCCAGAGGTGGGTAAAAATTATTGTTGCGACTTACTTATATGAATATCTCATTTGAAAATCAAAAACCGATCAGTTATTTTAGAATCGACACATATTGTATCATTTTTACCGGTTTTAATTTTAAAGTGGTTTTTTGTAGAGTATTCTAGACATATATTTTTATATAAAAACAATAGGTACATCAACAAAATATACGTCCAATATCAAGCCTTTTTTAATTACACGCAACATGTTTAAATAGCTTAGAAGGGATTCAATTTTATAAAATAAAAAACAAGTGGAGGAATAGTATATAGTCGGAAGTTGTCAGTTGAAGGAGTATCATCCCTTTCGCAAGTACTTGTATCTTGCGACTGTGTTCTTATTGATCAATGCTCAAAGTGTAGAATGGCTTTAAGCTTTAGCAGAAGACATCTAGTTAATTTAAGTTCACTAACTAACCTATTTCACACCTTTACGTATTTCTACGTAAACCTAATAAAATGGCTGGATGCAACGAGTAGGTATTTACTTATGAAGACTCAAGACTGTGGCATTAAAGAGAGAAGAGTGGAAGTCTATTTTTCGCTATAACAAGGTTTAGCTTTTAGTAAAAGAAGAAGACCTAAGAAAATAACCTAAAGCTGTACAGGTATTAGTTATGCCGTATGTCATTTATACTGTACAACATACAGTTTTGTGGAAAACAACTAAAATACACAACTATTTCTATTTGTTGAATCCGAATCCGGTCTCTGGTTATAGTTTAAATCGCTTCGAAAGTTGTAAAAAAAATGTTTTTTTTTTTTTTTTTAATAGAGTTAAGTAGAATTTGTTGTTTTTTTTATACAAAAAAAAAACATCAAGTTTTCCTTATTAATTTGCTTACAATTTTGGAGGTGATTTAAAAACAAAAAATTGACTTACTAGTGAAAACTTGAGGCTAGATTCGGATTTATGTTTTTCCAAGTTCTCTAAAACGTGCGCATTTCGGGGTTTTGTCAAATATATGGTGACATTTTGTTTTTCAAGTATTAAACAAGTACAAATTTTATTCATCTAAATAACAATACTTGACCAATAGTGACTTACCAAGTCGTCGGCAATCACGAACACGATATGAGGTTGGCGTCGATCGTTAAGAAAATTATTATTATCTCCACCGACTAAATGAATCGCTGCCGACAATAAAAAACAAAAGCACAGAACAAAGCTACGAGTATGTCGGGTGATCATCGTGGTAATGTTAATAAAATATATATTTGTGTTGTAACTTGAAAAAAAAACTAGGTATTACACTTCGCTTTACTCTAAGTACACGACTCACAAGACAATACAATAAACGAATAATTGATTAACATTAATATCCAATTGAATTTTATTTTTACACAAGATTTCAGCAACACTATTTAAAATGTCTTTATTCGTTTACACCGGGCATCAGACTATATCGTCCCGAGACGAGTGCGTTAGTACTTAGTTGTAAATAACATATTATAATTCTCCAACACCGTCCTCGTTCGATGATGTATGGACATATTAAAGTTTAAACGTATCTGGTGGATATCGCCTATGGGTCTTTTAAACGCAATCATCCTTGTTCAAGGTCTATGAGCAAAAATTTGCCTATGACGAGGCAAGTAAAACTCATGGGAACAAAACGGTCTTATTTGTCTGACTATACGTTCTACACGCTATCATTTGTACGCATGTATACTGGTATAGCAATAATATTGCACGTTATATTACTTCCGGGAATTATAATATTATCGTGTAAACGCAGTTATTACTTATATACCCAAGTACAGAGCGGACAGAAATATTATTTTCGACAATGTATAATTTATGTATAGACGAGTAATATAACAATATAACAATTATAATTATACACTAGTAATGACACTTAGTGCACGCGCATAGGGTTTAATGTTGATGTACCTACACATATTTAGATTTTAAACTTCAGTGTAGTATTTTTCTCAACTGCATAAATTAATACACTCTCTGGTACATACACGACACTACGATTGTTCTTTTTAGAAAAACTATTAGTATTTAGTTACATACAATTTTCTCCTTAGCAGTAAATGTTTACTACTTACCTAATGTATAGCTAATTGGCAATTTATAGTTTTGAATTGTCTAAAGTAATATTATATTAGTCAAAACCCAACTATTGTCACATATTGTTCGGCTAAAATGAATTAGGAAAACCGAGTTAAAATTGTACAAGATGCTTCTAAAATATATCTAAACATTATTCCTTCCCTCAGGGCTTATTCTAAGGATTTTTTTCCACCGCATTTTATGGAATCGAACCTGTATGGCACTAACCTAACCTGGTTTAATAAGGGTGGTTGCTCAAAAATATTTCAATTTTAACTTCTAAATATAGTTAAGTTTATGTTTCACTTTAATTTAGCCTATTAATATAAATAACATATGTTTAAAAATGTCCTTTTTGATTACAGTTTTACTATTTTTTTTGTTTTAAATAATATTTTTTGTAATTAACACAGGTATAAAAAGCATAATAGTGTTTGTATTTTAAAATACATATAATATAATTTTTTTCCATTTCTATGCATATGGTGAAATATTTTAGAAGTACCGGTCATGCCTGATGTGATATATCAGTATATGAGACAGTAGTTGATGGCGCAGACATAGGAACAGTAACCGAAATAATAATCGAAGTTAAAGCAACAGCAGTTGTAGTGCAAGGTGTAAGTGTTATAACGGATTTCTGAGATGGAATTACTGTTGTGGAAGTGGTTACAAAAAGACTGACCAGTGGACTCTACTTTAGCAAACGATAACCTTTTGGTTAATGAGTTATTCGTATTTCTTTTTTCCATAATCTAAGAAAATATAGATTTTAAAAATAATTTATTTATTCACAGAAAATACACCAAGCTTCCCTAATGTGTAGAATCCTTGAAAGTTTTAACACTTGGCAAATTTAAGGAATGCTTTGTCCTTCCGGTCTCATAACTCAATTTACTCAATATTTGAATTTATTATGGATATACTACTTAAAAAAACAAAAAATTGCTTCTTTATAAGAAATATGATAATTATTTTACATTTTTTTTTTTAACAATAAAAAGCATTTCTTGGATTTTGGGCTAGTGGGTAAGCGTAAAATAATATAAATATACGGTAGAGTAAGTGGTTAAGGTAATACCTTAATTTAAATTTATAAATAGACAATATTTTTAGTGTATTATTATATTGTCATGGAAATATGCTAGGTGCCCATTTATTTTTGTTTATAAATTAATCTAAAGCTTTATCGATAAGAAAAATGTTTGCGTAAAAAATTATTGGTATTGTACACAAATGCCAAAAATAAATTTCTTATACCTTCAACTGTTATTTAATTATTGTCGACATAACAATGTTAATTTTATGAGTATTTTTATGACGAACTAACACGTTTTTTTCAAAAAATGATTTATCACAAATATCACATTTAAACAATTTTTCTCCTGTATGATATGACCTGATATGAACAACAAGCGTATCCTTGCGATGAAATGATAACTTGCAAGTATCACATTGAAATGGCTTATTTTTTTGGTGTATCCACTCGTGACGTCGCAGAGATCTCTCATCGAAAAATGATTTTTGACACACTTTACACAAGTGCTTTTTATTACTAATATGTATCAACTGAGCTTTACTTTTAATTTTATCAACATGATGTATATAGTGACTGGTCAAATTATATTTTCTTGGAAACGATTCTTGGCAAATATCACATTCGAACGGTTTTTCACCCTCATGAATTATTTTAATATGAGTATTCAAATTTGATTTACGGCTAAATTTTTTCTTACATACATGACAAGTAAAAGGATTTTCTCCTGAATGTGTTTTCTGGTGTCTACCATAGTTCGACTGATCGGTAAATGTTTTATAACATAAATTGCACTGGAATAACTTTTCTTTAATATGAATTTTTTTATGGTTTCTTAAATATTTTAGATGAGGAAATGTCATTTGGCATACATCACATTGATATGAATTTTCTTCCATTTTAAAAGAGCTGCACATTTTGAATTGACAGTGGAGTTTTATATGTGATATAAGGTTCTTTTTGCAATCAAACAATTGTTGGCAATAGTAACACTGTTTTTTTAACTTATCTATTGGTTGCTGAATAGTTTCTTCATTGATAGTTTGTTTATTACACAATGAACTTGGAGGAAAAATTGACACTAAATTGTTTTCAAAACTTGGTTTATCTTCGCGTTCACTTTGAAACAGGTCTTCGCTTTTCTCTGTAATTTCACTAAAATAAATGTCATCAATATCCTTTTCGATTTTTATGTTTATCTGATCATTTTCCTTCTCATATTTTAATTGGTCAGAAGTGCCACTTAAAAAAAAAAATTCATTCATTGAATAATTAGTTTAAAAATTATGATTACCTATGCTATAACATTAATCTATTAGTTGACTAATAATCTGAGTCTCATTATGCTACACATTAATATTGTTATGTCATAATATTTTGTAGAGGAAATTATTTTTAAAATATATAATATTTTGAATTTTACTAGATACAATATATTCTTTTTTTTTATTTGAAAAAAAAACGGAAAAATTTATAATTCAATTTTAAATAATAATTATGTATCTTCTACAGAAACAAAAATTATTTAAAAAAATATATACTTAGTATCTATATTTATCTAAAATAATTTAATGTATCTTACTTAATATTAATTGCTCAAAACAAATACATGATTTCAACAAATATATGTGTATACTATATCATTATATTATATCATAATCCATAAACTAAGGTTTTTAGCTTATGTATTTTTATTTAAAATGTTATATCTTACGTACAAATTATTATTCGCTAATTTTATACTTACTCAGAGTAATGTATTTGATAGAGAGGTAAATCTTCATGATCTTCTTTAATGAAAATACTGTAATCATCTAAATTTTGTTGTTCTGTTTTTATTAAACAATTATTATTGTTTTCCATGCTACTAAAATTGTTTTTAGCAAATTTGTCTCTATTGGCAATACTAAAAAAAAAATGTATGTAATTTTTTTAGGTACTAAATTTTATATATTGTAAAATATAAACATAAATAAGTAAAAAAAAAAACAAACAAATACATACTGAGTAACAAGTGAAGATTTATTATGAATAAATTCAGGGATAGATTCTTTGTCTGTAGACATTGTTAAACTATTGTAACCAATTTGATTGATTTCATTAAAAATATTTTTATTTCTTGAAGAATTTCCATAATTATAAGGTAGGTACTATTATTTTGTCTATTATTAGTTTGACTCCTGAAAATGTAAACAAAATATTAATTTAGTACCAATTATTTAATTTTAAAGAAGATTGATCATAATAACTCTTCAGAGATCTCTTACAAGTATTTACACAGCCATAGTAACACAATCAAAAGTTGCAATGAAAATTTTGTTAAAATATTTTATTATACTTCTGTTTAAATATGTATTGATTTGCACTTAATTCACGTCATTGGCATACATATAACATTCAAAATGAATTACCTTTCTATTTTATTTAGCAGTTAACAATGAATGCAATTTTAGTTTTTACATATCATTCGCCTTGATAAATGACACAAGTTACAATTCAATTATTCTGTTGATGTACAAAATATTAATAATGCTTAAAAGTACCTACTTAATTAATATTTTTTCTAATAGTTATATTGTGAGTACTGCTAAATATTTAACACATCTGCTTTACTATTTTTAAATTAAGTAAATCACGGTTTATTTGGCACTTCACTTAAAATATAGGAAGTTAAATAATTTTAACAGGAGAGTAGTAATATTTATGCAAACTACAAGAGTTTATAATACGTAGCAATATAAATTATATTTTACAATAGAGACTTGGTTAAGTAATTTATATGAGAATGGAGGTTAGATATCAATTTCAATCAGATAACAAATTGGTATTTAAAAATGTTATAATAATTTATTAGTTTGTTAATCAGTTTAGGTTAAACATAATATTGTAAATACAGAATACTATTACCTGGTAATATTGTTAGGAACACGCAGATTTGGTTATTAAACTGTAAAACTTAATGTGAAAATAAAGAATTAAGTTGGATCATTATTAATAATTATATTATACTCTATGACCATGATGTTAGGTGTTTTTTATTATCTTTTTAAACATTATATTTCATAATCGGCGTTACATTATCATGTAACATTATCATTGGTCTCTTCAACCAAATTAAAAACGGTATTTCATAATTTTCTCGGGTTAAATAATATTATAAATACTTAACAAAAATTATACAAAGCATATATTCTGTAGTAAATACTAACTATAGTGATTTCAAGTTTTTACATAGACACAATAAAAAGAATTTACAAGGAAATATATTTAGCATATTTTGCTTGCGTTCGATAATATCTGCTAGTGTCTAGCAAGTAAATGGTAAAAACTTAAGCGCGGGGTAATACAGCATATATAACTGATAACGGATACTGATAACGTTTCGTATGGTACAATGTATTATGTAACAGCTATACTACATCTAGCTAATCTAGCTATCTACAGTAATGCATTCAAAAATTATTATATTTAAAACATTTAACAAACTTTAAGTTGGTAGATTCTATTATAGTGGTTAAACGTCAATTCATATTGTTTTGATGATCTGGTGTAAGCTAAGTAATTCAAGAACAATTATTAATGTTTCACGTCTGTTTGGCAATTACATATGTATAATATTGTGTAGATAGATTTATGCAGATTTTAGAACTTTTTTCAAATTACAAAAAAAAATTGTATTATATTTCATGAATTAAAACGGTTTTAATGTTCTTGGCTCTTGAGATTGGGAATTATACCTAGTAACATTTTATAATAGATAGTTATAATTTCTATTTAAATAATTGTAACAGTTTACATAGTTTTTAGCTTTGATACGAATATTCAATATACATTCAGGCACTTAAGAAATGCATGATGTTTTAAAAATAAAATGCGAAAAGAATAACTGTTACTACCTATATTAATTTGTTTCACATACTTATTTTGTTTATACATTAGGTACATATTATAAACGTAGTGCATAATATTGATAGTTATGATTCTTTTCCTCAAATAAAATATAGTATCGACTGTAAGAATTGCTAAAATATTATACTGGTTGTACCTATTTATTATCATTACTAGCAGAGGTATTACAAATTACTAAAATAAGGGATATCTATTGGAAAGCACTGTACATATTAGAAAATCATATCTCCTCGCTATATATGATATGAATTACAAACAATTTTCAGGTTGCTAAATACAGAACTAGGGGTATTAAGCACACCCAAACCCAATTTCCCCCCAAATTGCACTTAAGATTACTACTAAGATTTTGTGGTGAGACTACTGTGACACGCCACTAGTTAATAGCCGTATTTTTATAAATATCTACAAAACTTTTAGGCATTTCGCACAATACTATCAACTTATGAATGTATTAAAACTTTTTTGTAGCTTAAATTATTATTATCGAGGAAGAGAGCAAAACTCAGAATTAAAGGTAATGCGAATGTAGTTAAAAGCAGTGTAGCTAAAGCTTCTTATTATATTTCATTATCATTTTAACCAGCACTCTAATCTACAACTGTCAAATTTCATTTCATTGTTGTTAACCTACAGGTATCTGATTTCTGTTGATATGAATGTACTATTTTATCTGCTGGTAACTTCACTATAGAGTGTAGATAATTACATATAAAAATCAAAACTTTGGGAACACCTGAATCGAGTAGTCAAGGGTATATATATCCCGAAACACGAATATTATTAAACCACTTTTGCCTTTTTCTTTCAACGGACGTCGTTACTCTAGTCTATAGACATTAAACTTTAAATTAAAAAAAAAAAAAGAAGAACTTTCATACACATACACAGCTTGGTAATTACTTTCAGACGTCTTTTAGAACAAACTTGGTGAGTGAATTTTTCACAGAATTTATTATTATTTTTTTTTTATAATATATGTCGACATTTTTCTACGTGTCTAGGCGTTTGTTAAATTATGTTTTAATACTTATAAATTAAAATTTCAATTAATTGAATTTCAAATGTCGAATCGGGAAAAAAATGTTTTATTTTTGCGTGAACATTTTTTTAAATTAACTAATTTTATAAGAACAACATTCCACGGATCTTGATTGATCAAATAATTCAAAATTTTCATTAAACCAGAGTAAGTTATTTAAAAAATAACTATTTATTGTACAAATTATCATTTCTGAATTTTGCCTGTAATATAACTACAAAGCAAAAGTACAATTTAAAATAATAATTCTTACAATATTTTTTTACGCTTCCAAACATATTTTGAAATCATATTTGGACAGGAAGTCAATTAAAAAATATTTTTTTAACAATACAAATCGATTTAAATATTTAGGAATTATTAATGTAACACTAGTTTTATTAATATTTGATTTCCTGTCATATTATGTTTTAAAAAATGTTTATAATATTTAAAAAAAAATTGTAACAATTATGAATATTTAAACTAATGTCATGTAAATGATTTTGTATTAAAAATAACAAAATATAAATTTTTTTTCTTTTTCGATAGTATTTTTTTTCTATACGAGTATTTATTATAATTTTAAAGGTAGAATCCAAGCATATGTTATAAGAGTGTTAGATAAACTTTATTAAAGTTAGAAGGTACATTAAAATAATGATTGTTATATTATAACCAATTAAAATTATTTTTTTTAGTTAATTATTATAAAATAATAATTTTAAATACGGGCAAATGATTATAAATGAGAGGTATTTTCATTTTTTTTTTACGAATTAATACATGCACCAGATATTTTGTGATATTTATACTATAGTGAATAGTAATACTAAATTCGATTTAAATAAATTTAATAATAAATAGTAGAAAACGTTTTTTTTAACCGCATGTGTAAGACGTAATAATAGTAATTTTTTTTCTATATGTAAGGTTAGCTGCTATAGTAATTAATATTTACATATATTGCTGTAGTAAAATATTGTGTTTTTTTAATTATTTATTTATTTTTATTTACAATTTTTGTAATTGTTTAGCAAATTAAATTATAATACTATTAATGTACACGTAAGTAGGTGTTGAATTTTAAATTGCAATATTTTATAATTATAGTCAAGCACTTAAGCTAAGAGTATATCCGTAGTTCCGATTCCAAACTAAAAAATATATTTATAAATTATTAGCTTTCGTTTCCATGACTATAGCAAGCTAACAGTATATAAAGTTATACAAAAAATAATAATAATGTATGATAAAAATATTCTGTTTTATTACTTTTGTAAATTTTACAATAATTTATCATATTTTTATAAAAATAATGTAAGAAAAATTGACAACAAGTTACATTTAAAATTTTTAAAACATTTTTTAAAGCAAAGACGTTTTAAAACAAGTAACTTTATAGAATATAATTATTGAAAAAATGATAGCAGACATTGCTAGCTTATTTTTTTTGTTAAACAAAGTGATTTATTCAATTCTGTTAAGTATTAAACATAATATAGATAAATTGTATTAAAATCTTTCGGTTTGTTTGGGTTATTTACTAGTGGTTTCTTAATTAATTAGTTTTGGTGGATTTAAAATAAAAATGTATTTGTTTTACTTAAGTTAATGTTAGAGGTTCAAAGGATGAAGTACTAAGTTCTCAATTTAAAATGTTCATACTTTGTTGAAATAACATTCTGCAATATGAATATTAAAAATGTTTGACAGAGACCATTTTAATTAAGTACTGTTCTTTTCTAACTTATGTGATTAATTTTATTTGTACGCATCGAAACATATTTGTATAATTTATATGGCTGTTTCTACTAACTAGTAATTATACTTAAAATTTAAGTAGAGCTATACGATAGTTTTAGTACTGTTAAAACCTATTATATTTTAAGTATATTATCAATAATAAAAATAAAATAGGAATTCTCAACGTTCCGATATAAATAATTTGTAATTTTATAAAATCTATCAAGAAGTAATAGGGAATTATCGCTCTTAAAATACATCTTAATTGGGTTTTCAGTCGTACAACAATATTATAACAATAATAATTGCATAAGTATTTTTATAGACGGTAATATGCTGGCTTAAGGTACAATATCAAACAATCTTAATTGCTAATATTCCCCATAATACTAGTTTCTACCATTTACCATAAAATATAAAGCTGATTATCTATGGTTTTTACGTATTACTAATGATTATTAAAAGTACGGCTTTTTCACAATTTTAATAGAACTCTTACATAATAATGTATTATATTAATAGCAAAATATCATTGCATATAATTGTATTATTTTGTTAACAGATAAATCCCAAGGTATTAAAATTTGTACCTACCTACATGAAAATTGATAGCCATAATCAGTATTAAAATTTATTTATAATCAGTTTTAAATTAAGTGCAGCTAGCTCTATATTACTATTATACTTCTTAATATGTCTTAATAATAAGAATATATAACAATACAATTTATTTAAACAAAAATTAATATGGTCTTATCCGATTGCAATACAATTTATTTGACAACATAATTACTTGATTATGTTAAAGTCAAATGAGGTTTATGTAAAAAAAAAAAAATAGTAGCCAATATAATTACTGACAATTTTTTTAAAATTTAATTGAGTTTTATTTTTATTTTGTAGTAGCTTTTATCTTGTGATGCCGTGTACAGGTTGTATCTTAATGTCAACGCCCTATGTGTAATCTAACTTTTACGTGTTACATAACATATTTTTAAATAGTTTATAGATTCTACTAAGCCTTTGGTTTTTCGTTTGCACGTTTCTAATGACATTCTAAAATTTTTTTTTACAGACTTCGTAAATATTGGGTTTTATTTAATAGTCAATATTTTAGTATTAATTTTAATTTTTAATACAGGAATTACAAGTGTTAGCATTTTTTAAAAACCTTAGTTATTACATTAAGCATTATTTTTTTTTTTAGTTTATTGATTATTATCAGTTTTTAAAATTTAGATTATTCTTAATTATTTTTTTATGTACACAGTATGGTCGACAGTCGTTTATATAAACCTTACCTAACCTAACCGTTTACATTTTCCAAAATAATTTTTAAAACAGTTTTAAAAATTTGAATTCTTAGATTGAGATTCGTAAATTTTTTATTTTACATATAGGTTTATCATTAGTTGTTAAAGTCGTTATCGAGAATCCAACCAGTAGGCGCAACCAGTAGGCAACTTAAGATACAATTCAATGTTGTTAATACTCAAATAACTACAAGAATATCTTATTTCGTTTTAATGTACTTAACAATATTATCTTAAGCATTGGCAATCAAATTTACATTTTACCTAAATTATTTTTGTACCTACGGACTTCAAACAAAGAAATCAAGGAAGTTTCAGTTTATAAATCTAATTTTCCGTATACCTATTTTTTTTTGTATATCTGAGTAGTTATTGTTTTTACGATGATGTGTTTTAATTTTTTTTTTGTGTTCTGCTACATGAACACAAAAAAAATAGATCTATAGATCTGAAATTGTACCTGAATGGTGCTTTAATAGACCAAACATTTAAATATGGCACCGTATCCCCTTCAAAATCTTTTAAAATTTTCAACTTAAATTTACAGCGCGCTATACATTCTTAAAAAATAGTCGAATGGGTTCCAACAGAATATGTTTTAGATAAAGTACTATCGATAGCCGTTGACAAAAAAAATATAACTATTTTGCCTTAAAATAACTTTTTATTTTTTTTTTTTTTCTAGTGAAGTTTTAGGACTTAGAATGAACAATCTATATTTTAATTATTAAAACATTTTTTTTTTTAAATACATTTTTGCTTAAAATCGACTTTTTTTTGTTAGCTATTTAGTTTAAATAATATTGGATTACAAAATGTCATGATGTATATGTACACTATAAAAATTATAATATCCCTCTCGATGTGTCACCTGAATAATAGAGGTTTTATTTATAACCCTGGATTGAAAACTATACCAAGCCAAATTTAACATTATTTCTTTTTACATTTCCTTCCGGGTTCAAATTGTTCTTCCTTTACAAGTTAAAAATCAGTTAAACAATCAGAATATAATTTTAATAGTTATTTCAATCGAAATAATTTGTAATTATAACAAATGTTGTAAATGTTGGCTTGGTATAGTTTTCTGTTCACAACTGAACAAGGATTATGAAAATACATTGTATAGACACAGTGAAAGTGTAATAAAAACATGAAACGCCAATATAGAGGCTCTCCATCATTATTGCACTAATAAAATGCATAGTATAATTTAATTTTTAAATTAAGATACGACGAACAATTGCGAACACTTTAATTTTTAGTAGGCGGGACAAACAAACTGTATTTAAAAAAAAAATCTCATATACCTTGTAGCAGGCGTTTGCTTTTTGTACATTTATGTTTCACTGCTAAATTGCTTTGTTTTTTTTTCAGATCGTCAATAATGTCCATGTTACCGTTCATCATGGAACAGTTTTCCCGGCCCACCATGTATAATCAACATTTCGGAATGGGTTTGTTGGACGACGACTTGGTCTTGGCACAACGTGACCTGATGCCGTTGTTTAGCAGCCGACTTTATCACCGAAATCCTCTGTCGTTGACGCCGGCCAACCGGAGCGGTCTGTCTCGCGTGCAAAACGATCACAAGTACTTTAAGGTCAACTTGGACGTGCAACAGTTCCAACCAGAGCAGTTATCCGTCAAAGTCGACGACGACGGATACGTGGTAGTTCATGGCGAGCACGAAGAACGCAGCGACGAGCATGGATATGTGTCCAGGCGGTTCACCCGGCGCTACAAGGTGCCTGAAAACGTCGACCCCAACGCCATCACTTCTCAGCTGTCGTCAGACGGCGTGCTCAGCATCGGAGCTCCTAAGAAGGTAAAAATTAAAATGACGGTTAATTTTTATTCCCAAAATATCGTACAAATAATTAGCAGGCTACTAATTAGCCTACGAGCAGACTACTCGGGCCATAGAGTTAGTAAAAATTAAATCTCTCTAGACAACTCTGCGTATTATACTCATCGCGTTTGCAGATGTCTCGAATCGATTCTATGGATTTGTGACTCACCCGTAAACAACACAGTTATATTATTATTCAACCTCCATAAGTCCTCAAGTTTTAGCAATTTATATTGTCCGAGTAACATCGTATAATTTTTTTTTCTTCCCCCTATAATTAAACGGTTCAACGAGATTTTTGGAATATAAACCTAAAATTCATTTATTTTATGCGATTTTTCTCTGAAAATTTATTTAATTTGATTTCAGACTTTTGACGAAAAAAAAAATACAAGGGCCGTGCCGATTATTCACACCAACGAACCAAGTATTAAGTTAGCAAAAATTCAACAAGAAAACGGTACGAAGTCAGTCGAGTTACCAATAAATACGACAACAAATAAGTCAAAATAAATACTAATAATAAATTGTAATAAATAATAATAATAATAATTAATAATAGTTAATAAATAATAAAAAAGTTAAATGTTATAATGTTTTATATTGTGTATAAGTTTTAAATAATGTTATATATTGTAATTAAAGAAATTAAATGTTTAAATGCAGTCTAAGTATAATAAAATGAGTCAAATGTTTGTATTTGTCATTAAAAAACGAAAATAAACTATAGTTGTATTTTTATGTCATGCAGAATGTTTGTATTAATCATTAACAACATCCATCATTTTATTTTTCCTACATAGTTATTTAAGTACCTACCTGTGGAAGTATAGTAGTAAGTTGGGTACAAAGTAAACACAGCGTGACTTGAAAATGTATAAGTAATTTACATTATTATTATAAATAAGTTTTTAAATAATGTTTAAGCAATTGAAATTATTTAAATGATTTAAAAAAAAATTATTTTTGACTTTTTACTTTCTGGGTAGATTGGGTTTGGGAAGTAGGTACCTGTGTTTATATGAGTTACACAAATATTAATTGTAAAAAAAAAAACCAAAATATTCTGTATAATGATTGTGCCGTTATTTCAAAACAGCGCGGGCCAATCCAAAATATTTTCATAAAAATATGAAAGATATTGTTACAACTTACAATTGACTAACGTTGACAATTATTTACAACCGTTACTTACCTAATATAAAGTAAAAATACAACGTCAGTAAGTATAGGACAAAGCTAAGAGACAGTGTTATAACTTATAAGTGTCAAAGAATAAAATGTAACCGACAAACATATTATTATTGAAATAAAATATCCATATTTTACTAGTATATTAAATTATTATAGCTTATAGGCTATAGCTTATAGCTGTAGTGTATTTACCGAATATAGCCAAATAATGTATGTAGCTGTAGACAAATAAAGTAAAAGTAAATGCAAATTAAAAAATATAAATAATTTAACTAATATTGTAATGTAATTAACGTTTTCAATAAAAAAGAAAAAAATGAATTTACATTAGCCCCGTTTATTTACAACTATCCCAAATGACTTTAAATGTATTATGTTTTATTTTTCCTCTTAGATGTGGTAAGAATAGTACTTAAAAACAATCACCGAATTTAATAGAAAGTACAGCGTATTATTGATCAATTATATTGTTATGATGAAAGTATATAATATAGTTAACAGAAAACACATGTGTGTATTATACACGTGTAAGTACAAATTATAAGTTGTAATTTTATTTCTTAGTAATATTTTTTAAAAACATTTTTTGGTTTTAATAAAGTGTATTTTAAGGACTATATTATTATATATATATATATTGTATACAAGTGTGTCGGCTCGGGTACAAACGGGCCAACGCCATAAATAACGAGGACGTAGAGATGATAACAAGTCGGAAAGAAAACTAAGATCAGATAATTTAATTTTTAGTTTTTTTCTGTTCGTCCGGCAGTTTCCAAAATGATAATAAAAGAAATATTGTTTTGAAAAAGTCCTGTTATTGTTATGTATTAGGTTTACGCTAGGTAGGTGCTTACGACATTCGTGTTTTTACCAGTCGACCCAACGTTAAAGCCGTCACGAAAATGTATTTAATTGCTTGATACTATTTTCTTTCCGCTTAATAAGCAGTCTCATACATTTCTAGGACCTTAACTGTGTTTATTACATTTTTCGTTATAATTATATTTATATAATAACTGCAACGGGTAACCTTCTTGTTTAATGACACACGAAACTCTAGTTTCTACGCTGCATACACGATATACCTACATAATATTATTAGATGTGTACTAACGGGTATACGCAAAAGTAGCACATAAATTAACCTTAAAGATTGTCTATAGTGCCATGATAATACCGTGCTTTAAAAATTATCATATGCTCGATTATTGTTCTGTTACTTGTTGTATAATCAAATATTAAAAAAAAAAAGTGTTATACAAATATTTATTTTAGTATTTAAAATGAAATAATTTCGAGGTAATACCACTGCGTTATTATTTTTATAAAAAAACAAACATGGATATTATACTTTTAACTCGCGGCTAAGATCAAAGGAAGCAGTATTAGATGTAATAAGAAGACAATTTACAAAGTGAAAAAACTATTTACAAATTATTAAGTAACAACACGCAACAATTATTAACTTTATTATACAGTATAATATCCATTATTAAATTATTTTCACTATTACTAGGGTCTATTACTAAGATGTAATTACTAAGGCTAGTTTGAAGAATTTTTCAATTAATAACATTAAAAGTTGTCACACATTAAACGAATATAAAAGATATACTATTCATAGATTTTCACTAGTGTACTTATTTTGCCTATTTGATACGCCGACATTTCTATTGCGATGGAAATGTTGAAAAATAGAAACAATTTGTTAAACTGGGACATAAGTCCATTACCAAACATTTTATGAAAATGTATAAAACGTGTTGATGATATACAAAGAGGTATATAAGGAGGTAATAGGTTGCCCGTAATAGGTTTCAGTCTATCGTTAGCGCTGAAGATCGCTGAACATTGTTGCCGAAATACGTATACGCGGAAAGTGTATTATTTTATGGCTAAGGGTTTTCAAATATTCTTTATTATTATTTTTAAACAAAACCTAATTTGAATTATTATTATAGTAATTTACTTTATGCAATGAGTAAATTACAGTAGAAAACACATTTACATAGTCAATTCTATTCGTTTTTCTTGAATCTTTTGCAATTTAAAAAATATAATGATACAATTTCACCTCTATCTCTCTAGGTATCTTTATATATAAATTTCTTCTGTTCGTGTGTAAGTATGCAAACTCCTTCTAAACGGCTGGACAGATATTTATGAAATTTTGTGTGCGCGATTAAGTTGATTCGAGAAAGGTTTAGATTCAGAATTTGATCCGATAGAACATGTTTTTAATTTTTAATTAATTAAAATGATTAATTATGATTATCAATAGTATCAATAGTTATCAAACATACATCTCTATGGTTTTTCATACCACAGGGATACAGTGATCCGATCAGCTGATTGTGTGTCTATTCTAATACACGGGCAACGCCGGGTCCGGGACCGCTTGTATTTATATATTATATCTATTAGTTACAAGACTATTATTAGCTCATAAGTAATAACCAATAACGGTTAGAGTAGACCGATAAACGTTACATGTTCCATACAGACGGACGTTGTGAATATTAGCACGTAATAGGATTGCATTTTAGATATAATATTACATAAGAACCTTTTTGTCCGCCTCTCGAGGCCGTATTTCCTTCCGGTAGTGGTGGCTTGCACACGCCGAGCTGAGAGAAAAAAGGAACGACCTCGGCAACAATATAACAGAAGCGGTTTTGGGGGGTAAGAAGCGTGCAAAAAAAAATTATTCTCGGCCTGTGAATTAAAAAAAAAAACGCTTAGGGGTAGCCCGATTCGCTTCAACGCTAAACCACAAAACATTGGAAATATATTTTTTTCCTTTTTTTTTTTTGTCATTCTATGGCTGTTAATGCATCGAAATGTGCTACACCGTTCTTTTATTTTTATTATCCCCATTACATCATAATGCATCCGCTCGAGTGTAAAATGTACCCGACGCCTGCCCCCGGGGGGTTAAAGGATCACTGTCAACACCCCGCAAGCATCATGTCGTATATTTGATAATTATATTTGAGCCACGGTGACGTCTTCCATCCGCGACGTATCAGCTGATCTCTAATAAAAAACAAAATAACAGTACACGTACCTATAAAAATCTGTATTATTCCTAATAATATTATATACTCTGATTATATTGTGTGAACCGCCGTTACATCGTGTTTAAACCGCAATGAGCTGTGTTGGTTTAATGCGTTGAAAAACTACCTTATTATTTATTTTAAAATGAATATAGTCTCGCCGAAAAGACAAACAAATTATATTTAATTTAATTTTATAGTAACTATTGTGTATATTCTGGTGTATATATAATATATATATATATATATATATTAGACTTTGTTAAAAAAAAAAATATTTAGTTACCCTCCAATTGTAGTTTATACAATAGTAGCTTATTATACTAAGGCGAATAAGAAATCCCAAAAATGTCATACCTCTAGCTCAACTTAGAGTTCTTCCTCATGTTTTTTATGCGTTTGTTTAACATGTAAGTTTTTAATCTAACTAGAAAATCAATTAACATTTTATCAATCTAAAAAAAAAAATCTCTAACTTTTAATATGACACTTTAAAATCACTAGGTATTAGGTTAATACCTAGTGATTTTCTTAGGTCACGATAAAAAATATTTTATCAAGTTACAGCCTATTGAAGCCGATAAAACTAATAGCTTATTTTATTTAAAGTACAAGTTTTAAATTTATAATTTATTCTTAACCAGACTTGAAAAAAAATTAAGTAAGAAATAATAAAATAATGTTCTAAACTAAATTAAAATTTTTAGTTCTAAAATGTTGACAATTTATTTTTCAATTTTTAAAGATTTATATGGCGCGTAAAGCAATGGGAAAACACCGCACCATAATTCCTCTTCCCTTTATTCAGTTTTGACTGCAAACCAATCTACTATAGGAGGATAATTATAAAAAATAAGAGAGAGATTTATATGAGATGTACATTCTAACTTATTTTCTAATGAGTACCATATCACTGAAAAAATGCATTTTATCGTTTTATCACACATGTATATGCGCAACACATGTGCCGCTAATTGTTTTATCGACATTATCTAGTCTTATTGCTATTCATCAAATATAGGACGTGCTACTTTTTTTAAAACGAGAAACGACTTTTATTTAGTCGTTAAAGACTACATTCATATAATCAATAACACTCATACTGGATAATGGGTTAATAAATAAACCTATACTATTATTGGTTTTTGATATTATATAGTTAGTGTCGTAGTGAAAAATCACTAAAACACTGTACTGAAGGGTCGTACTCTGTGGGTCTGATAATTTTCCGGGTCGAAGGATTCGCAGCGAACACAATATGATAATAGCTCTAAAAAAACGACAATCGAACGAATTTACATATGTTTCCTACCAGTCCCTTGGGCGTATTAAAAGCACAAAAAAAACTAACAACGACAATTCTATCGAAGGAACATCGCATAAGTGATTTCACGGGCAATTCGTTCAGTTTTTCGCATAAATTAT